GTAGGTTGTGGAAACCCTCTTTGATGAGGGTATATTTTCAATGCCAAATAAATCCTGTATCTATCAGGGTAATATTATCAATAACATATGTATTCTGCATCTATCAATGACAGGTGAGATTATGGCGAATATTTAACAGGGATATTATTTGGTACAAAGTAGAGGTAAGTGGGAGAAAGCACTGAGATCAGAGACATGTCTTCATGTTAAATTTATCTTGTGACTCTCCATAGAAGATGGAGTATTACCGAGTTATATCCTGGACTCTAAGCTGGTACAAACTCTTTGATGAGGGTATATTTTCAATGCCAAATAAATCCTGTATCTATAAATGACAGGTTCATTTAGGGAGTATATTTGGCAGAGATCTTATCTGGTACAAAGTGCAGGTAGGTGGGAGAAAGCTCTGGGATTAGGGACATATCTTCATGTTAAATTTATCTTGTGACTCTCCATAGAAGATGGAGTATTACCGAGTTTTGTCCTGGACTCTAAGCTGGTACAAACTACAGGTAGGTTAGGTCTAAATTTGCACCCCTAGACCGAAAAATGGTGGTGCATGTCTTAATAGGAGTGAAAATAATCTCGAAGGGACGTTAAATGCTTCAGGTAGGTTGGGATAATCATGTATTTATTTTTTACTTTTACAAATGTCAACCTTTTATATGACCCTTTCTAAGACTTCAAAGAACCTTGAATCATATTCAGATACATAAAACGAAAATTGTTGCACAAAAAGTTTTCAATTTCAAACTTCATGTTGAGACTTTGTTTAATAAAATTCTTTACGGGATATATTTTTCTTTTATTAGGAAAGCCGTAAAACAAAGTATTCAAAAAGGACGTTTACATGTTACATAAGCACTGTGAAGGGGTGAAGTAAACAGGATTAAAATTTCTTAATACTGTTAAGTGGTCATGAGAATTCTATTTTCATAAATTAATTGCTAAAAATATGTATATATTACTATATCGACTGGTCAAATAAGGATCATGGATGTCTTTCAACTTCACAGAAAATTTCTACACCAAACAATTACTTAGACTAGAATACGTGTATCACCGAGCAAAATTAACATTTTTGAAATAAATAACTTTTTCATATATTATACTAAAGGACTATATTCTGTATTGGCCAGTATCTGCCCCCAAAATAAAACTTTGATGGAGAAATCTTTAATTATGTTCTAAACCAGGTGAATATTTGTAGACTTCAAAGCATTAAATATTTTTATCAACTATGACATCATTAGTTAGATATGACGTCAATAAAATGACGTAAATTCCAAATTGCAATGATTTTGAGAGAAAATAGTGTATTTTACGTCGGTATTTTGATTGGAAATTATCGAGCGCAAGTCTGCTCAGACTAGATCTTTTGATATAATGTGTAGAATGATAATATCAATGAAATATGTGAATATGGTACCTGAGCAAGCTTGCGCTCTATAAATACTATAGTCAAAATTGAACAAACTCTGTGCATTTTGGCCTCTTTTTTAAAAATAACGGAAATCCAAATAGTTTGTGACGTCACAGAGACAAGAAAAGCCAACTAATTTTTCTAATTTCATAATATATTGTCTTAATTTGGATGATTTTATACAATATATGCACTTTTTCTCATTTCTAGAGATTTTCAAAATTTGACTATTATGGGGGCAGGAATACGCCCATACCGTATATAGTTCTTTGGACGTTTATCTGTTAAATTCTCCAGCTATTTTCATTGTATGTCTATTATTTAGTTAAGTGTGTCTCATGCTCTTTGACATTCCAATTGACTGTCAAAAGAATATTTACTTGTTAGTTGTAAATGCCTTAGGACCTGTTAATCTTATATCAATAGCTTTGTTTATATAGTTATTTAGCTATGTCTTTTATGTCCATTCTATCAAAGAAACACACCTGTCCATCAATTAATTCAGCCAGTGTCATAATTCAATTATTGTTTAATCTCTATCTAACAAAAAGCTATGTTATACGTTCTTCAGTTTGGAGGCCCGATGCTCTACCGGCCACATCCAACTCGGTTAAGACTCGTAAGCTATTGTTGAAATTTACGTTGATTGTTATTTACCATCGTCTATAATAAATTCGGAAACCTGATTTACCAATTCTTGGACTTTATATTGGAAGACCATAAGGAATACGGCACCTTTCTCGTTTGCATTGTATTACGGCCCCACAGCGCCGTTACTGTATTACCCGCCAACATTCCTTCTTCCCCGTTTACGCTAGCGCAACGGATATAGTCCAGGAATTACTTTCATAACTTTATAACCAAAATCTGTTTGGTTATAATTGGTGGATGAATCCTAAGGGTAAAACAACGCCCGGGGCCGCTGCATATATTTTGCAGTGGTCAGATCCCGAACCTCTACATCAAGCGAGTTCCCTCTATTGAACCACTCTGCTCAACGTGAACTGTTCGACCAATGCATCAACGATGGACAACACCATTAAACACCAGTTCAACATCCATGAACAACGCTTTCGGCATTCCTTTGTTAACCACCAGGATAGTTTCATTAACTAGTGTTTACCGGTGTGTACGTCTACAAGAACATCAAAGAACAGAATCCAAAAAATAATTAAAGTGAAATTTCTTTCCAAACACGAGGACGTGTTTTTCCCGGAGCGGTGGGAAATTATCACAGTGTAAAATTCACTGTTCCAGAAAAAAACTTTATTTTGGACTTTACCTATCAATTTCTTATTTATTTGTCATATTTTATTTCTTACGATATGTTCAACGAATCTAATTGTTTAATTTAATTTACAAGTGACACTTTTGTCCAAACATCAAAGAGTCATTAAACATATTTAATAACTCTATACTTGTGAATCTTTCACTCATTTTATTTAATGTCAACACCTGCCATTTATTTACTCTTTATGTACATTCTTATAAATAGTCATGTATAATTTCAATCTTTAGTCTGGAATATACGAAGGCCAGTCTCGGCCACGTCCGACTCGTCAGGACTCTTGAGTCCGGGGCCACTTCGGCCAAATCCGACTCGATCTATTTTAATATGTCTGTTTGTTGATTCATGTAAACTGCTGCCATCGTTGAGACTCATCTAATAGATACGGAATCCTTCATCATTTGTTTTATCTCTGGAATTGCTTATTGGTGGACCTTCGGGAATACGGCATACCTATACTTCGTTTTTACCTTACGGCAACACAGTGCCTCTACCTATACCTCGTATCCCCTACGCCAACATTCCCTCACCCAGTTCGTTCTGCAAACAACGGATGCAGTTCCAGACGAATTCCTAAGTACCGTCTAAATCTACACGGTCACACATGTGTAAAAATGTAATATAAATAGCAAACCAAAATAAATCCTTTCTTTCATTTTTCTTGACATACAATTGCACCATTCTGGTCTTTTTCCGTATTTTTTTTTTTGAGGGTAACCCCCCTCCCCCTCAGGAGAAGTGAACCTTCTTATATTGACACTTCTCGCCTGTTGAAGTCTTCGCCTTTACATTATTCTACACATGAATAGAAAGGAATATACGCATATATATAGGTATGAATATTTTATGAAATTACAAGGAAAAATCTAACATACAACTTGAGTCGAAACAAATTGATTAATCTTTAAATTATTGAGTGACATGTGATCCACCTGATTAAGAATATATTGTATTCCACGTGTTTAACGCGACTTAAAAGATACTGCTTACACGGTGGCTCTCTTCTCAATCCTTAGGTAATGCTATATCAGGGTTGGATTGGGTGAAAAAATTGGGGAGGGGATCTTAAGATAGCCTCTAGACATATGTTTTTGTTTTGTTTTGTTTGTTTTTTTTGCAACGATACGTGCCTGTTTCCACTCGATAATACCCCCCCCCCCCCCCCCTCGCATTCTCTATGCGCAATCCACATAAACATAAAATTGCATCACTCGAACAACAAATTAATATTGAAAGAAAAATAAATATGATTATATAGTTCAACGACTTTTATTTGAATTGAAATAAATCCACGATTGTCAACAATTTATCAATATTTGATAATTAATTTCATTTATACATTGTTAATATAGACTGGCATTTCGACTTTTACGCGTACGACTTAATATATAATTACCCATTGTAAATTAACAGTGAAATAAATATTATTTAAGAATATTTCATTTCTTTCCGTATATTTTATCACATGTTGAATATTCCATGTACGAGTGAATAAATCCGCACATATTCACCCTACGTAATCAGCACACTTATGAAAGATAACTCGTGGTCATGAAAGATAACTCGTGTTCGCCTACCTGTACATTGTACCATCTAGCGCTAACCGTAATTTAATGCAATTAGAATTGATTTTTTTCATATGAGTGTGCAGAATTTACAATCGTCCGTACACACAGTCATGTGAGCGTGTGTCGCAGTGAAAACTTGTGCTATAGTGCCCTGTGATTCAGTGTCGTTCTGTCGTTAGACAAAAGTGCGTGATTCTTCTTTTGCATTTGATTTTATTATGGTAAAATAATTTTCTTTTAACTGATTATACATGTATGAACATGTTTTTCTTATAAAAGAAAATGTATATTTCGTTATTCTGACAGCGACCGGTTTTAATTCTACAATGCATAGACCATATCCGGTTATGTATACATGGGAAACGATGCTAGAGGTTGACTTGCCGCGTTGGTAGAAAGATTATGCTTCTGTGCATATTATACAAAGTTTTTATTTTGTGAATTATAAAGAGAATGTAAAAATCTTTTTATTGCTAAATACATGTACATGTATATTAAAGAAATCGTACACAGAATTTCAAACAAGAAGGAATTTGACATGTTTTTACTGTTAAGTATATGATCACTGCACTAAGTTTATTTGAAGTTCATTTGAATTATAACCCTCGATACATGTATGTCGAACCCCTGGATATCTCGAAGTTCATCAACGGTCCTGTCAACTTCGAGATAACGAAGTTTAACTGTATATTTATATATATTTTCTTTCTGTGTATTGCAGGCCCAGCAGCATTATTTTGATGACCCAGAGGGTAAAATTGAGTTGCCTTCTTCACTGAAGGTTGAAACATGGCGTCGTCCAAACGAGTTCATTACGGAAAAGGTTTGTACATTTATTCCATGTTGACTTTTCAGACTTGTTGGCAGTTATTATGAGAAAGTCTGAATCAGACCAGCTCCTGTTTTCTTTACAGACCCCTGTGGTAGTGGACCCAGATGGAATGGCTGGGTTTGATTTGATCTCTGCCAATGAACACATTCATCACAGTGAGGTAAATTGAAAAAAAAAAAAAAAACATTTCTAGAAAAACTCAATATAAATCATTTATGATTAACTTTTCATTTATCATTTTGGGACCTATACAGTTGAATTTCGGTATCACGAACACTGATATCTCGAATATCATGGATATCTCAAAGTGATTTGGAAGTCCCAATCACTTATTCCTTAAGTATTTTACCCTGGATATCTCAAACCCTTGGATATCTCAAAGTATTTCCTCGGTCCCATCAGGTTCAAGATAACGAGGTTTTACTGTATTTTAGTAAATCTAAATGTTTTATCAATCAGATGATGAATAATGAAAATAAAAATTTTGAAATAATGAGAGTATACATTATAATGATGTACATTTAACTTAACTGTTAGATGTCTCTTGATTGAATTGTTACAGCTGATGAGGTACATCATCAGTCAGGTTGTTGCATTATGGGAGAACACCACAGAGAAAAATGTACCCCCAGAGCAGGCCGAACCCAATCAGCCATACGAGGAGATGATCCACAGCTGGCGGCCATGGGAACACATCTATGCTCTGATGAAAGTTCAGAAACCTCCGTTTGTTACTCCATACAACGCATATGGGAAATATGTTGTCAAATTATACTGGATGGTAAGAATATTTCTGTGTAAGCTGTGAACAGATAGATTTGCTGTGTCACTGAAAATAATTGTAAAAATTCTGCTTGTTATGAGATTAATGCAAATTGGCAAAACTGTCTATTGAAACCTTCAATTTGATGAAAACTGCCTCAATTTTATATTTTTTAACCTAGTTATTTACATGACTACTCTTACATGTAGGGATGTTGGAGAAAGCTGATCGTTGATGATGCCATGCCTTTTGATGAGAATGACAAACTCCTACTTCCAGCCACCTCCATGCAGCATGAATTGTGGCCAATGCTTCTGACAAAAGCATTGATTAAAGTGGCTTCCTTAGAGTAAGCATAAACTTTTGGTTTCTTACTGAAAAAGAAATTTTGAAAATTGTTTGTATGACTGAAATTTATAAGCAATAATGAGAAAATATTTTGCATTTTAAGCTTCAACATTTAGAGAGTTTGGAATATGATATTTTGAATGAATGATGTTTTGGAATGTAGAATGATTTGTTATTTTTGTACACAGCTACACAGGAGGTAGCCAGAGTAGCGAGTTCGGAGACTGCAGTGTCATCCAATGCCTGATGGGATGGATTCCTGAGGCAATACCACTTCAGTGAGTACCAGTATAATCGTGAGCTAGTTCTCTCCGCTGTAGGTAGGGGGAGGAGGGATTCAGCGTAGATTTCACAGGGATCTTTGGGACCACCATTGTATACCTTCACTTTTGATATTGTGACAGTTTTTCATATAACAGCATGCAAATGAATCACAACTCTCATATTTTGGTAATTCAAGTTATTCTTAATTCCCCCTTTCTTTGAAATTAACTGCACGGCAGCCATGTTATCACTTTTTCATCTTTTATTTGATATGAATAAACAGAGATAATCTTTTTATTTCTTCACTTCAATATTAACCATTATTTGCTCTATATTAACATGGTGTGGAGTACTACTGCTTTTATCAACAGGGAATGCTGGGTATTAAAGGGGAGGTAACTTAATAACCAAACCCTTGACTCAGTACCCAGCTTAACCCTTTCACAGAATGTACACTTAAGCACAGTTATTTTAGTATACAGTGTTTTCAAACTACCTGTTAAAAATCAAAGTTCCTAAAGTATTTTTGAAAATATCCCTAATTCAAGATAACTTTATTGAACTCTGTATTTTGCCATATTTTTTTTCCCAAGAATCTATTGGATAAAAAATTTAAGTTCAACAAATGTATTACACTGTATGCAATGTGCTTAAGAACTGCTCTGTGTTGTGAACTGGGCTGCACTGTTGTAAACATGCACTTGATTTTCTTTCTATTTGATGGTACTATCTCACAGGGGCCTAATGTCGTCCACTCGGGACATTCCCGCTGGCCCAGCTTCTGGGTCAGGCCGGGCTTCTCCGTTAGTGACTGCTAGCCAGGTGCTTGATAAATATATCCAGCTAAGTTCTCAGCCAAAGAGTGCCGAAACGGCCGCCATGCCACATGGCAAGGCTCATAAGGTGAAGTCAACGGTACACCAGGAATACAGGCAAGGCTTGGTTCTCTTAAGTAGTGTATTCTCTATCATCTGCTTGCTGTCATTATGTATATACAGCTTGTAGTAGAGATCTGTTATATATATATATATCAGGCATTTCTACTTCTCTATATATAGTTTTACATCACCTGATCACTAAAGCATGTTGACGATGCATGTGACTTTTTTTATTGTAAAACTAATTAATATAATAAAATTAAAAAAGTAGAATGCTTAAAATAGTTAACAAGATAAAATTTGCTTATGAACACATTTTGCAATATTTCTAAACAAGCATGTTGGAGTATATATATGAAAGATTTTTGATAAAAAGATAGAGTTTTTTCATAGACCACAGCAAAGATGTACCTGCATGTCTGGGAGTATTATATACCCTGTCATTTGCATGCCTCGATAAAATTTGATTTTTATCCCAATCACTGAATCATGTCTGACCTTTATAACAGTTTACCTATAATAACAGATGATTACAGTGATGTCTATTTGATTTAATGAATGCTTTACTGTGATGATAACAAATGTACTTGCTGGATGTTACAGACATGGCCACATTCATGAGGTATGGGAACTACTAAAGGCTTCCCTCCCAGAGTGGAAGCTCCCCCTCCAGGAGTGGGAGAAACAGCTTATGGCAGAACAGCAGGAACAGGAAAAGAAGGAACTGGACAGTGCAACACCACATGTAAGTCAGAGAACTACTGAGTATACCACATGTAAGTCAGAGAACTACTGAGTATACCACATGTAAGTCAGAGAACTACTGAGTATACCACATGTAAGTCAGAGAACTACTGAGTATGTGACAGTGTGGATGCTTCACATTATGCTGTGGATGCTTCACATTATGCCTCCATATGTAAAATATAGATTTTTTCCTGCTTGAAAATATCAGATCATAACTTTTAATGCTGCATGTAGTCTGTACTCTCATCAACTTGTACAGAAGAACTTTCTAAAATAAAAAAAATGGGTGGGGGGAATATTGCTGCAAGGGTTTTGTTTATTATAGTATATCAAGGAAAGGAAGTGTTTGAAAGGATTTTCTATTGAACTTAAGTATATTGAACACTGGTTTATGAAGCATAAACTTCCCCAACCCAGGTCATACAGTGGCTATTAAATTCATTTTTTAAATGAATTTTAGTCTCTGCAATTTCAATATTTCAAACTCTCAGATATCTTGAAATTATTTTAATCTATCCCACTAATTTGAAGATAAGTGCTTAGGCTGGAAATAGAAGGATCTTTATTTCATTTTTGACAATTTACAGGACTTAACAAAAGACAATCTGTCAGAGAAAGACGGTGGTAAAGGTGAAAAATCAGAGAAAGCTGATCCTAAGGCCAAGGACGGAAAAGACAAGGGCAAAGATGCCAAGGACAAAGGTAAAGGGTCAAGAAGGGTTCATAGATCACCATTAAAATGACTAGTAATGTGTGCACAGTTGATCTTCAGTATTTAGAACCTAATATGTTGAATACCAGAAATTTCTTTTAGTAAGTTAGGGTCATGACCATTTTATGAATTTGAGTCTCAGTGGAGTCTCACTCGGGTGGATCTCGGAGTATTGTAAGAGTTTTGTTATTTTAGAAATACTGTAAATTGCATAAATTTTGCGTGATTTGATTTTTTGGGGGAAAAAATGTTGTATTTAGCTATAAGACATACTTTGTAAATTGGTGAAGGTTTTTTTTGAAGAAATTTTCATGAAATAAATGTGTCCATCAGTAAGAATGAAAAGAGATTCCCAATATAATGGTATCACTGAATTTTTTAAACCCTTTACTGATGAATATTATTGTGCTTGCAGGCAAAGACAAGGACAAGAAAGGTGGAGATAAGGACAAAGCAAAAGGGGCTGAAAGTAAGAATTTTTTTTGCATTCTGTCATTTGTTTTCTGTGCTTTAGAAACTGAGAAAATTCAAGTGACTAATAAAAACTTATTTTTATCACAGAGGAGAAAACCATGGATGACATAACAATACCAGAGAAGCCAGAGGTGTGTGTGTTTGCTACTTATTGGAGTACCCCTAAGTACCCCGTCAAGGTGTCAGTCCTGGGGGAAATGGCTGACGCCAGTGAGAAACTGAGACAGAATGGCTTGTCTCATCTCTACCCTCATCCTGTCTGTATCACACAGACCCGATCTTGTCCCCTAGAACCTCCCCCACCACCAGAAAAAATACCGGCTTGGAAACTGATCCGACCCAAGAAAAAGAAGCCTGCTCCATCAGACGAACCTGTTTGTAAGTATAAGAATTGTGCTCAATGAAGAGTTATTTCCCTTGTCTCAGTCAATTCTTATACTTGCCATAACACTTTTTTTAGATAGAGAGAGTGTTTTTATGGTGATAATTCTAAGGTTGATTCTGTTTTAGCAACTCCTGAGCCTCCAAAGCCTATTCAGTGTTTGGAGATCACATCACCTTTCCTGAACTACAAAGTCAGTCCCATTCCAATTCCAGCAGATACGTAAGTTTACAAGTACCTGTCTAGACATGGTTAAATTCTATAATAAATCACATTTTCATTTCATAATTTGGAAATATCATTTCATTATTATGTTACGTGCATTCACTATGCTGTTTAATTTACAGAACTCGTCCAAACTCCTCTTTGTCAAGAGGAGGAACTCGCTCACGTCCTGCAACAGGACACATCAACCAAATAGAGGAAACCGATGAAAATGCACCGGAACCAGAACCTCCAAAGCCTGAACCAGAAAAAGAGGAGCCACCCAAACAAGAGGTGAGTGGGCCAAGGAATAGTGAGAATAAAAAGTTAGTCAAAGCTTATTCAGCTGCAGCAAGGAAATGTCAATCAAACTTGACTCCTCCCAGTCCATCACAGAGGTTTTCACTGAAAGAAACAAAAACAAAAAAATGTCCTTTTCCCAATTTTTTTGGTGTTGTAATGACTGTATTAACCAAATTTGTGTTGTTGTCTGTGTTTAAAATATTTGTATTATGTTTAATTTAAATTAAAAATAAATGCTTTCATTTGATGTTTGAAGAAAAATTTCACTAATTTTTGGTTAAGGATAATTCTGAGTGAAGAACTAAAGTAACTTGTTTCTTTTAAAATTAATATGTTTGCATTTTTTGTAAAAAGGTATTGAATTCTGTGTTTAAACTTTAAGTGTCATATTATTCATGTGCATGCTAGAATATCAGAGGGCATGTTCAGGAGAATGCTAGATTTTTTAAAAAAAGCAGTGAAACTTTTTTATACATCGATCTTTATCTGCTTACATATGTTTTGATTGATTATTCAAAATTGGAAGCATTTTTTAATACATGATTTGTCTTGGACAAATTTTGAATTAAATAACAGCTTAAAAAAAGGTTTCACTGTGTCATGTTGTGAATGTTCTAAGATATTACTGCAAGTAGGAGTTTATTTGTTTGGTAATTTCAAAAAAAAAAAAAAAAAAAAAAAAGCTGGCAAAGATGAGGTTAATATTTTTGGTTATACTATGTATATTTTGAAAAACCTAGAGGAAAGTACCTTCATTATTTGAAATAAAAATAAATTCATACATTAGTGACATTGATTGAATTAACCTCAGAAGTAAACTACTATTTTGGCAGTATTAGGCTATACTGTATACAGGGTTATTTTATTGCCCTTTCAAACTTGTAAACAATTTTTCCCCATTTTAGATTCACCGAATCTCAGTTGTTTTAAAAAGATTTAATGCTTTTTTTTTTTAATTTTAAATTTTTAAATTCATCAACTTGTGAGAAGGGTGAAAGGGAAAAAATAAAGTTTCCCTGTATACAGTAGTTTTAATGGAACATTTTACTTGTTCAGTGCTTTAATTGTTTGGCTTTTATGTTGTCTTGTCCCCCCTAAGGAGCCCCCTCAAATTGTTGAACCTGAGGTTAAGCCATCCACCCCCAGTAAGGAGAGGCGAAAGTCCCCCACTAAATCTAAGGAGGGAAATAGAGAGGTAAGGAGAATTGAAATTTGCCTCAGTAAAGCAAAATAGGTAAGGGGAAATAAAAGACTAATCTTAATACAGTCCAACCTCATTATCTCGAACTTGATGGGACAGAGAAAAAAAACTTTGAGATATCCAAGGGTTTGAGATATTGGGGGTAAAATACTTAAAGAAAAAGTGCTTGGGACTTCCAAATCACTTCGACATATCCATGGTATTGGAGAAATCCATGTTTGAGATACCGAAGTTCAACTGTACTAAAATGTAGGGAAAATTAAAGTCCCCCCACTAAATTAAGGAGGGAAATAGAGAGGGAAGGAGAATACAAATTTGCCTCAGTAAAGCAAAATAGGTAAGGGGAAATGAAAGTCCCATCTTAATACTAAAATGTAGGGGAAATTGAAGTCTCTCCACTAGATCTAAGGAAGTTTATATAGAGATGGAAGTTATGCACCTAAAGGCATATGGTATGAAATTATAAAGTCAAATAATACGTTTTAATAATGACCAATGACAGCATAGGATGAGAAGAGGTATGATAAATCATGTAAGTATGGATTCTTAGGCTTGCAGTGAAGTTGTTGTTGATATTAAAAATTTGTATTTTAAAAAAAGTCAATTAATTTTTACTATATGGCTGAAAATTATTTCAAACATTAAATATATGTCCTCTATTTTAAATTTCATTTCAGATAATTTAATTCATAGTTAATGATGTTTAAAAAAAATAAAAAAGGTTATTTACAATATATATCGCTTTAATTTTGGAATTTCTTTTGTTTTACATAGCATGCTACCATATTATTGTTGCACCTAGAGTATTTTCATGTAGTCTAGTAAATTTTTAGTTGAGAGCAGAGATATATCACAAGCACTTAACATTTACCATTTTTAAGGAGCTTGAAAGTCAGTCTATTGTAACACCATATTATTAATTGCCTTTTAGGGATCTCCCAAAGGCAAGAGAATAAGCTCAGCGAAGGGAGATAAGGCAAAGGCTACAGGGCGTCCAGATTCTAAAGGCAAAAAAGAGGAGGAAAAGCCAGCCAAAGGTAATGTTTTAACACTTCATTCCTCACATTTATTCATTTTGTGACAAATGATAGAATTTCAAGCACACATCAATTTAGGATTCGTCTTAGATTGTGCACACACACCCTTCAGCAGATTTGTCACAGGTTTTAAGTGCTACATTGATGTTGCTGGAGTTTACTCACAATTTGCATAGGTATCATTTTTTGAAATTTAATAAACTCGTCATTCATGATATATTATACTGTTTTTAATTATTATAAATTTAGTTTGGATTTTATTTTTAATAAGTAGGATTGTAGGTGGGTTTTCAGCACATGTAGCTGGCACTAAATTAACCTGCCAAAAACAAAAATCCAAAAAGAATACAAAATTAAGAAAATAAAAAATAACAATACTTGATCTATTACATGTCTATTATGTGAATCTGTAACTGTTTCATTTATTTATAAATAAAAAAGCCTTGCCATAGCTGTATAGCTGGCACACATTTGAAGGTTTTTGATCATTTTCCTGCAGTCGAGTCCGTCAATGGAGAATACCTTACTTCACCACCAGGTTTTATATTACACCATTTTTGTGGCTATTCTTATCTGTTGATTAAACATCTAGTTAACTGATTCAGAAAAGTGTGATCTTTCTCACTCTTTGTACTGATTTCAACTCTTTAAACTGATCGAGTTTGAATATTCTTCATATGATATACATGTATTTTATTTAAACCATGTGTATCCCACAATATTTTGGTTATGGTATATGTATTCAATTAACACTTTCTAGTCAAATTGATGTTTAGTCAACAAAATTTGTAAGGTTACAAAGTAGATTGATTTAACAAAGTGCAGTCACAGAAAGTTTTAGATTCATTTATGGAAAACATTTATTTCTCAAAGGAATTTGTAGCTGCAGAAAATTTTAGTGAATGACAATAGATCTAGTCCATTAATATATTAGCTATTGGTGATTTGTAAATGGAAAAATGGTTTAGTTATAGTTTTTATGAGAATTAGAAAAGTATATAGGAAGTTTAGTTTTTTTTTAAATGCTGCTTTGCAAATTTACCCTAAATTTTGTAAAGTAGAGATTAGAGTCCTGCTCTTATACCTGCTAATTAATTCATTTTTTAATGTCTGCAGAATATTTCCAATGTTTACAGTTGATAGAATTTCATTTGTTAAATTCAGTTACATTAACTTATCTTGTTCATTACATATACTTATTTCCTTTTAGTTCATTAACACTTTCAGCTTCAAAAATGAAGAGATTTATTATATATTATGAGAAGTTAATCTTAAAAGGGAAAAAAATGTTGAAATAAAAAAAGATTCTAGGAATAATTCATTTTGAAAATGATCAAAATAGTGTGACAGTATGTTATAAAATATTACCTTGTTGTCAAGGTCAAAATATACAATGTTTTCTGACTTGTTTTAGCCACACCCCCAGCTGCAGCCCCTCCCCCAGTTCCTTCTGATGGAGGAGGGTTTGCTCCACCCCCTGTCACTGACCCTGAGGCTGTACCCCCAGAGGGAGGAGAGGAGGGTGTAGAGAAGCAATCCGAGCAGCAAGAGGAACAGGTTATTGATGAAGAAGCTGCTAAGGCCAAGAAAGTCTGGATGGACTTTGAGATGTTCTGCAAATGTTTCAAGTAAGTTATAAATGCTGAAAATGTTTATATTCAGTTTTTTTTTAATAAATATTGCTTTCTTATCAGATTTTTACACAGTAACAAAATAAACAAAATTATTTTTAATAAAAAGAAATTATTGGACTAATCTTTAAAGTGTATTCTTCATATAATATTGTTTGTGTTTGTGTGAATTTTATTGTTCACATTTTCTTTGATTTTTTTTATCAGAACTCTGTACATTTATCACAAACCTAACACCTACAAGTACAACCATAAGCATGCTGATCTAAAGGTAAGATAATTATTGTTATCCCACCTGAACAGGTGTTCCCCATTCAGCATTTGTTTTATAAAGCCCAGACGAAACGATTTTCAGGTGCATGTTTTCAATGACTCATAAGATATCAAAAATCCTTAAGTAAACTTTATATATATACCAGAACTATACACTTCAGATATTTCAATTTTTTATGTGAAAGCAGCTTTATGAAATTTAAAGATACTTGAAAATTTGTTTCAAAATTCATTAAATACAAGAGTCCTACATACACATACTCATGTACAGTACGTGACTTAATTCATTCAAATTCCCTACAAATAACCATTCATTCTGTTTTATTTTTTGGCTCTATATCATGTATTATAGCATACAATAAAATATAAAGATTTAATCTTTCATTATCGCAGAAACTGGAGAAACTTTTCAATGTTCAGGTTTGTGAAGCAGTTAATTTATACCCCCCGCTGTCGATATTGTATGACTTGCATGCCCTGACCAGTTTGTTACTATCTGTATCTATATATTGCTAGCTTAACACTATATGCCAAGGAAGCGTAAGTTCTCCAGGCAATGCATGCTGTACAGTTCCAGCATTCAATTTTATTTTCAGTAGATACAAATATTTTTTTTATGATTTAATGGTTTATGAATATTCTGTTTTCTTTGTTTTGTGCCTGTTTCTCCTTCTTTGGCCAATCTCTTTGTTTTGTTTAGGTTTTTAGATTAATTATTTGTGAAATGTAGAAATTTTATATCTATTTTTTGTAATTTTTTTAAATTTCTAAAACCTACAATTTGAAGAAACATTATTGGATAAAAAACGGAACAACTTATGATTCTTAAATGAGATTAATTTTTCATAGGATACTTTTTTAAAAACTTGTTATATGAAAGTAGCATATAATATTTTTTAACAAAAGCATGGTCACAAAAAGTAGAATGTTACATTAGTAAAATTATATGCATGGTTGATGAATAAGAAAGTAAATAAACATCACTTAATAAACTTTAAGCAATTTACCTTTCAGGCAGAAGTTTTTGTCATTAGTAGACCTGTCATTGAAATAAATCTCTTATTACTTTATTCCCACACAATAACTGTAAATATGCTGAATTGTATGTATATAGAAAATGCTGAGCTATTTGTAACAATGTGATTGTTGTGTAACTTAACATTTAACATTGGTGTTTAAAATTTAACTGCTAACCAATGAAAAGTTGAGACTTTCAGATTTTGACAGTCAACAAGAATTTAAGGCTGATTTTGCATCTGAATTCTGACCTGCCTATTTTACAGAGTGTCACTCAAGCAGCTGCCCCGGTGGGCAAAGGGGACAAAAAAGGAAATACAGGAAATGTTGGCGGGGTAAATACCTCCAAGACTGCTCAAAACCCACTCTCTGCACACTCCCTCTGTAGTGGTGTGAGTATGTGTGGACACACTTCACTGCACGTATAGTCCACCAAGGCTCCGCCCCTTCCTCTTCCTGTTTATTCTACTTCCTGTTACTAGGGTTACTTCCTGTTACCAGATTTTTACCTCTTCTTAACTTTGTAAATGTCTTTAAAATGCACAAGAATTGTTAGCATTAACTCGGATTAAACATTAATTTCTTTGTAAACTCCATACCCATTTTTGTAACTACAATAATAGTCATCCTCTATAGCTCTTTTAACTAATATGGTCTAAGTATTAGAAACCAGGAGCCTTGAAATAGTACCATTATAAAGATACTGTGGAAAATATTTAGAACTGTTAGTTTAACCAAAACCACAGATATTTGATGCATACCAATGTATATTATGTGCACCTTTTATATATAGTATACTCATTACAGGCAAAGGCTTTTGTGAGACAAATTTTAATTTTCAGGTTATATACGCCAAATGTATTTTTCAAATACCTATTTTAAAGTGCACTTTTTGAAGAAAACTTCTGAAATGCTACATAAAATTGCAGTGAAGTGCCCACATTCTCTTAGTCTGGTCCCTGCTTTTGATCTGTCCTGTAGTTGAACTGCTAGTAGACCAAAATTGTTATAGCTTTTGATATATCCTGTCCTTGAAAAATTGCTATCTGTAGCTTATAAACTGCTATCCATAGATCTGTTAGTGTCTGTAGCTATTTTTCCTTTGTTAAGTATACTTCCTTTGCTCAGAGCCATAGAATTTTGAGTAACTATGATCGTCTCTCTTTCTATTTCAAACTTGGCAAAAAAAAGAAGTCAGATTTTAGATTCCTTAAAATTTACACTATATTAAGTGTCAGTTCTTTATGATTTTCTAGCAAAAATTTATAGGTGTTTTTCAGAATAGTATAATGATATTTCTTTTTAAATACAGCCAGGTCTAATCATTAATCAGATGTGATCTGGTATGGATTTTTAGAAAGTAAAATTTAAGCTATTACACTTGTGCATAAACATAATAATAAGGGTTGGAATAGGAGTGCCCTGTTTGCTTTCATTTTTACTAACCTGAGTTCACTTTGGTATCTTTAAAAATTATATATCACAACAAATCAGAATGATTTGACAGCTGCAATTGATTCCATTCACATGTACTTTTAACAATAGAGCACTTCAGTACTATCTTATCAGCTGAGTCTGTCAAAACCTTCTGATTTCCAGTTTTCCAAAGTTCCAACAATATTAATTTCATGTTTGCTTGTGTGAAAATTGCTTAAAATTATTACATAAATTTAACAATGCTTTTGTGTTAATGCTGTAATGCTAAAATTATAACTGAATTTCATTTGGTTTTTGTGAATTTAAATGAATCCTTGACAAGTATCCTGTAGATTACAGAAATGTGATTTTGCTTGTAACTAATAATTTAGCATTCAATGTTTAAAGAATACAAAGTCAATAGAACCATTTATAAACAAGATATTTGTTTGTTTGTTTCAGGGAGGAACTCTTGCTGATGAGAGGGCACCACACTACCTGTGTATCCTTTTTTCATATATCTACTCTCTAGTAGTGTTTGAAATAACCATGGGCCCAACCACCCAAAAGGCATAAATTTTGTTGTGGACAAACAAGTTTGCTTGTATTGATGCCCAGCTGGATGTGTTAAAATTTCTGCTAATTTTAAATTGACAAATCTGTCTCAAATTGACTAATTAATCATACCAGTAGTGAAGTGTAATACATGTACAGGGTTGTACCTAAGACCCCAGGGGCCAGGGGATTTCCTATAATGATGAAATCCCCGGTTACTCTGGTATACCCCCTCATTCCCCTGTTAAAGGAGGAGCCCCAGATCCCCTTCTACTTTTTTAATGTCCCCTAGCTGCTATTTTAATTCTTAGGGACAACCCTGGTAATAAGCCAAGTAACAGAATTCATCAGTTTATATAATCAGGATTGAAGCTATGGGGATTAATTCCTATTTAAATAATTGCTAAAAATGATTTTTATAAAGGCAGTTATTTTCTTAGGCTAGTAAATCTGTAACAGGGCTAAAAACTTTTACCAGCAGTCAGCCTTCAATGCATGTCTAGCTTATTTTACAGTGAGTTTCAAACAGCCCTGTCACTACCCAAGCTAGTGACACCTATGATGTTGATGTAAATTATTATGTTTGACTTCAGATCCAATATAAGTCCCTTTAAGTTTAAAATATTTTTTACATCATGTAATTTTATAATATTTCTTACATCATTTATATTCAGATTTTTTATATGTATCTTTATAAGTGTACAAGAAGTGCTGGATTTTTATTGTGATTTAAAAAATCATAGAATTTACCAACATTTTATGTGTAGCATGAAAATCATTTCTCTCTTCATTATAAAATTTGTGAAATATTACAACTATGAAGAGTTTTGGCATGCTAAAGAATCCAGAAGGAGGGTATTTTTGACTGACAAAGTGTGTTTACTCCTTAACCCTGTACAGTTGTTGACAATCTAAAGCCCACAGAAATTGTTGTGTGTTTCTCTGCCCTGTCCCGCTGGCACGATCCCCCACCCCAAGTAATGGACGAGGCCAAATCTCACACCAATCTGAAAGGCAAGAAGGGAGAACAGGACAAAGAACTGACCACAGTGACCAGCAGTAGTGTCATGGAAGGTTAGTTTTATCTCCCCTTAACTGTACCCCACCATAAAAATTCCTCTAACATCATAATTTACTTGTGAGAGTGTTTAAACAGCTTCAGTATTAAATAAATGTGTGTCCTCTAGTATAGAGATTGTTATAAACCTGTGCATCTTTAGATAAAGGCTCCCTTAATAATTTTTTGCAGATTAATTGAAATAGAAAGTTCCCTACATGTATTGCTAGAGCCTATATGATACACTGTAATGACAAGATCTCTGTTTTAACATGTAATTATTGTCATCACTGGTCTAGTTGTAATCACCAGACATGGATTGAAATGGTTTTATTTTTTTTTATGTAACTACAATTTCTGACTCCTATACAGAGATCTTGTGATCATAAGCCCTCTAGACACAAGTTAGCTACAAACACTCCCCATCAAATTAAAATCAGCCCTTTCATTTTACTTTGTTTATTAATTGTTGCCCAAGCAACAAAATAAGTAAACAAAGAGTGAGATGAAAGGACTTATTTTACAAGGTTGTAAGCAGCCCCTGTTCTGACCAAGATAGTACCCTAGTTATATTCACTTGTTAACTGTAATTCACAGAATTTATCCTGTAATTCACTGAGTTATCCTGTAATTCACTGAGTTATCCTGTAATTCACTGAGTTGTCCTGTAATTCACTGTTAACCTGTATACCACTTAGTCACCAGTTTTTGTTATTGTGATGTAATGTGTTTGTTTGGTCATGTTAATGCTCTCAGAGGAACCACCTGATATTAAGGTGTATCAGGACCACAGTGTGGAAGGTAAGGGCAGACAACTCTATGTTATCATATTCAACAAGGGCAGACATTCTGTAAAGAGAGAGAGAGAGCATAGTGTGGCTTGATACATTTATTTACTGTGAATGTTATAGTTAGCAAAGCTCTAAAGGAAACATCTATCTCAACATAATTTGCAAGAATTCAAAAATCAGGCCAAATCGATTTTCTTTACTAGTGTTTAGACATCATTTTGATTTCTTTCAATGCTTTCTTAATTACATTCTTAGTGAAATAAATTTTTTGTCCAAGCCACAGATATTTTACATTAAATGTTAATTTATTTGTAGGTTCTATAGCTGGTGAACCTAAGTCTCCCCCAGTTGTAAATCCTGGTACTCTGGTTGCGGAACCGTATTCCTGGAAGAGTCTGGTGACAGGACAACCAATTTTAAGGATCAGAAGCACAGCCACTAAGGCAGCTGTCCTCAATCTACCAGCTGGGTAGGTCCTTAGCCTTAGTCCTGCAGCTATGCCTATAGTTGTCCTCAATCAACCCACTGGGTAGGTCCTTATCTTTAGTCCTGCAGCTATATCTATAGCTGTCTTCAATCAACCCACTGGGTAGGTCCTTATCTTTAGTCCTGCAGCTATATCTATAGCTGTCTTCAATCAACCCACTGGGTAGGTCCTTATCTTTAGTCCTGCAGCTATATCTATAGCTGTCTTCAATCAACCCACTGGGTAGGTCCTTATCTTTAGTCCTGCAGCTATATCTATAGCTGTCTTCAATCAACCCACTGGGAAGGTCCTTATCTTTAGTCATACAACAACGGTAAAACACACTTATAATGAATTCACTCTTTGAACAAGTTGATTTCATTCCCTGTAGATTTAAAGTGTATTATGAACTTATCAGATATACCATAAATTTCAACATTTATAATTAATCAAATTGTTTCAATTTTTTCCTTACTCTTTACTATACACATGTTTGACTATACACTAAACAAAGTTCTCAACTTACCAGTTGGTGGGTTACATCAGTTATGCATTTCACACATTGTACTTAGTTTTTCTTTCTTTTTGCTAGAACTTTTAACGTTATACATACTTTTAGAAGAAAAATATTTAAAAAAGAGAAATTTTTTTGTATGTTTTTTGTAGACGCCATGTTCTAAGGTTCATGATGTCTGGACCTTTAGGTTATTGTGTCCACTTGGTGTCCACCGTTCCATTTGTATTTGGAAATGAGGAAGAAGTCATGCCAGAACTCACTAAGGTAAGGTCATAAACACATTAAGGACATATTGGTTACTTAAAAGTTCAGCATAGAAGAATGCACAAATTCATGTACAAAAAGAAATGTTATCTTGGAATTTCTGTTGCAGGAGAGTTGTCGGTTTGTGGACAATGCTCTACAAGTCATTAATAGTATAGGAAAGTGTATCAACAGTTTCACTGACACAGAGGCCTTTAAAAAGAACTGGGATGAATTAGTCAGCTTTCACTGCCCATACAGGAACGATAAACTCATGTCTAAACAACACCACTTTGAGGTTAGTAATTTTGATTAATTGTATATTTGTTAGCAATCTTACATAAAAATAATGATAACAAAGCAAGTTTTTGTTGGAGGATTTTCCAAGTCAGTTTTATTTTTTTTTTTTTTTTTTTTTTTTTTTTTTTTTGAATGTTATTGAAGCTTATTTTGGAATTAAAAGGGAAGTTCAATCACCTTGGCAAAGTGGATCAATACTTTATGGACTACTGCAAGCAATGTGTATGAATATAATTTTATCTTTAAATCAGGTATTTGGCTTCTGAGACAAATGTACTGAGATTTGTTTCTTTTCACTATAGGTGTTTAATGATGCCCTGTACAACATGTTACGTAAATGTCTGAGTGATGTAGCAACTCCAGAAATAGCTTTTGCATGGAGATGTTTTACATTTGATGCCACATCTAAAAATATCTTGGGACTTCCCACCAGTAGTAGACCAGGTAGTTGTATTGATATTTCATCTTTGATATGTTGACCCTCCACTTGTCTCAACATTTGCCTATGGTCCACCAGTGTTGAGATCCCAAACTTTAAAGTATATGGTTCAAATGTTACACAACAAAGCAATCTATGAAAATCATGAATTTGCATGTAGACTTTAACCAATTGTATATAGAATAGTTAATAATTGCATGTGTGAAAAAAATAAGTTTACGACATTGTGATAGAATTAATCAAAGCATGTGCTGTAAATCCTGAGAACTAACACACTAGGCTCAACATTATCAGGCACCGCCACCACGAGTCATCGAGGGTCCGCCAAACCACCAGGCGGTGGCAAAGAAAAGGATAAAGACAAAGACAAAGGGAAGCAACAACAGCAGCAGCGTAAGTGTCTAGTCACAGTAGTCTGTCTATTGTGTCTACAACCTCAGAAAGCAATGTATAATGTCTACAGCTACACATATAAAGTAATCTGTCTCAATAATTATACATAGTAGTCTGTCTTTTGTGTCTGCAGCTACACATAAACAGTAACCTGTCTATTGTGTCTACAGCTACATAAAGCAATGTGTCTATTGTATCTACAACTACATAAATCAATGTGTTTGTTGTCAGTCTACAGCTGCCCATAAATACATGTCTGTGTATATAGCTACACACAGCAGTCTATTTATTCTGTCTTTAGCTAAAACTATGAAGCAATCTGTCTATTGTTTTTCTTAAGACTTTACCTACCATCGGGTCATTTACCAGTATACAATTTTGTTGGTTAGTTTTGTGCATTAGCATCTACAATTTCAAACTGGAAACCTTGCATATGACATAAAGTTAGCATATGTGTAGGGATATGCTGGTGACTATTGAGGCCATAAGCCTCTTGATTATAAGATGTAATGTATAAATAAATTTATTATAGTGCATGTTGTTTGGATTTATAAACTGAATGTTTATATATTGTCATACTAACAGAGAATCAGTGATTGTATGTTGACAGTTAACTCTTGTGACCATACATAACTTATTTATATGATGGGTTAATTTACCTGAAACTCTGATATTGATCTCAGTTCCTTACAATCCTTACTCAGCTAGTACACCAGTATTGTCTTAATTTCCCAGTTTAGTTTTAAAGTCAAGAGACATAAATGGTTCATCTCATAGATAATTTCCCAGTTGCTGGTAAAGGACTTCTTCATCAGCTTTGGCTGATGAATTTGTTCCTAATACCAGCAGACTTATTAGAGCTGGTTATTACTGTTTGATTATTGTTAATCAGAGGCCTGTAATGACAGACCTATATATCCTTGTAGATAATTACCCAGACTTGTGGACCAGACAGTCGACAAATGATTTTTTTTTTTTTTTAAATTTTTTTAAGAAGGAAGTGGTTTAGTAATAATTATGTTGTGGACCATTTAGTACACTCAAGGATACATTAGGCATTAAATATTTGATGTTACTTGCATGTACATGTGTGGTCTAAAGTCATTCAGTAATATGCCTAATAACACTTACACAGTGTGAAATATTAATAAATGAATACTGAATTGTAAATATTTCTGGTTTTGTAGTAATTTGAAGGATTGATGTTTTAATCAGGTGTTTTTTTTTCCCAGGTGAGACAGAGAAAGTAGAAAATCCATGGGCAAACAGGTTAGTTACTCAGAACATAATGTCTTTATGAAGTTAATTAAGACTTGAACTTAATTTCTGATATAATATCACTAAAATATAGATCTGATACTTTGGTGAAATGGTATTCATTTATCTTATTTGTATGATATAGAGAACCTACTCCGTTTGAACATACATCAGCTGTAAAGATTCAGAAGAGTTGGAAAGCTTACTATGTCAGAAAGATCACACAGGCCAGAACACAAGGTAGGACCATTCTCTCCAGCTGATCTACATCGCAGTTAAATTTTTGTCAACATATTTAGATTGAAATATTATTAATTTCATCTTACATGGCTTCTTCCTTTTTCAGGCTCCGAAGAAAACATCAAGGTAGCAGAAAATCTTCAGAAGTGCTGGAACATCATAGAACCAAATGCTGAACAAAATGGTCTCTTCTTGTTCAGGTATGTCTTGTAGACATCCATCTATAATTAAAAATGGTTGTAGCTTGCTTAGAGAGTTCAATTTAGTGTTTAGCATATTTTTGAGACTTGTCTCTAAGTATTGTAAGTTATAGGTTTTTATATCAGTTTTATGTTATTGGTTTTACAGGTTCATGTTTAAAAATGACCCAGATATCATGGTGAAGTACCCATTCTACCAGGATGAATGGAACAAAATTTCCTATGCAGATTATAGTGGTACCTACCCAGATCAGCCCCCTAACAATTGGTTCCTAGTCTTTAGGTGAGATATTTCACATCATTTAGTCTCACAGACATTATACACTACACCGTTAAGTTAAAGCTATAGAATACTTTTAGAAGTATGTGATATACAAGGAATGTGTACACGTAACATTTCAAATATGAAGCAGTCGGTTTGCAGTTTGTCATTGAATGGTGAAGATAAACATTTCCTTGTATTCCTTAATTAGGGAGATTTTCTATGTGAGTGAAGAGATGCTGGCTGTCCCTAAGTTGTATGTCCCAGTCAGTACATGTCTCCTGAGGGTCGTCAATAATGACACAGGAGAGGAAATCCCTCGTGTCTTCCAGAAAGTGGCCCCCTATGTCTACAAGAAAAATAGGGTCAGTACCTCAGTATCATACAAAAATATGTAAGGCCAAAATCTACAAGCTTAAATACATTTAAGTATTTTTTAAATCAGTATTATCACCATTTATTTTATAAATTTAATTACAGAAAGGTTACACCTTTGTTGCCGAGGCTAGAACAACAGATCAAGGTATCCCTAGCAACAAATGGAGAATGCGTCTGATTGGTTCTTTGAGCCCCCTCCCAGCCCCAGCCAAACCAGACACGGTCAACTCAAGTTTTGTGGTCAAACACATTACAGACTATTATGTGCCAAATTCCAAAGATGTCATTTTCAGGTACAGACAGTCAGACTAAATATCTTAAATTTACATTTTGTCTTCTTAAAGTTGCACATTTTGCACTAGATAATATGGTGCTAATACATGTAAATGTGAAAATGAAATGAAACTTTGAGTAATATTATCTTAGAATGTGGAATGGCATAAACTTTTACATAAAATCTCTTCTAATACAGTTTTTTGATTTTTTTCTTACTAGGTATACTGTGAAAGTGACGGAAGACCACCTGGCTTCAATTCAGGTCAACACATCCAAACTTGATGTCTACATCAAACTGGTAATTCTGGACAATGAGACAGAGGTTGCCACCACACAGGGCAAAGGTCATGCTGTCATTCCATCCTTTATCTTTCTGAAAGACCTTGACCCAAATGAGGAGAAGCGACCAAGCTCCAGAGCTTGTAAGTTTTCACTGATTTTGAGGCTCCTTAATATTCTGTTTAAGATACCCATTTGCCTACTGTAACTGATTTGGTAATGATAGCTTTAATGTGAAAGATACAAAAATGTCTGTGAAATTTTAAAATAAACTTTTCTTGAATGTTTTAGCTACCAAAGAAACCAAAGGTAAAGGTGGAAGCAAAGAGAATGTTGGGAAGAAACGGTCAGGATCTGGAAAGAGTCCGGAGGGCAGAACTTCAGTAAGTCAAGGCTTCATTTTGAACTGTCACATGACCACGTTTAGTGTCACATGTCTTTGTCTAACATTTGTTGATTGGTCAGTTTTATTGACTCACCGTCATGCTGTGTTCTCCACAGAGACCAGGCAGCCGAATTTCTGATGCTAGTGAAGTTGATCTCGAAGAAAAGGACTACAAGGTTGGAAATGATTCACTCTGATTCTGCACCCTTGTTCATTTGTTTATCATGATTTTGATATTCTTTCACCATACCCCATTTGATTTTATGGTGTTTTGTTAATTTTCATTTTTTGTTGTAGCCTCATAAATACATTATCCAAGCTATGGTGCAGAAGAACAGCTGGCCTTTGTCAGAATCAAGCTGGGCATTTGTACAGATGCTGAAAGACCTGGAGAAAAATGAACTCAAAGGTACGTTACATATCTATATTGATATCCATTGTAAAGCTTATTCATGTTATCAATGAATTCAGTATTTTTCCAAATTGACATTGAAGGCCTCATTTTTAATATAATATTAATGGTATTGCTGTGTTGCCTGGTTTTCAGCGCGAGATGAGAGTAAGTAGATTTGTAGCCCTCTGTATACTGAGGCAGTGTCTATAAGGTTTATATTATACAAATATCATATTGTGAGAGATGTCAGAAACTGGCCCAAATCATTCATTTTATTGTTTATTTTTGGATTGCATGTGTGGTAGATTATCTGGGAGCCCTTCTTCATACTGAAAACCAGGGTCTCTGAAAAACTGGGGAAGGATTTAAAACTATCATGTATACTATTTTATAATGTACCTATACTGGTTTATACTTTCACAATATGATTTATAATGTACATATATTGATATACACATCTTTTCAGAGATATTGTAACTAGATGAAAAGAATGTGGATTAATTACACATAGTAGTCTGAAGAATATGGACATATATTTAATGAAACGATATATTAGAGCTAGTACTTTTCTTTGCATGATTTTTAACCTATGGGATAGATTACAAAGCATGTATTTTTAACATATTGATATTATGAATTCAGTGATTACATTAACTCATTGTCAAGTTATATAAGAAATTAATTTTATGAATCTAGTTTATTTCATAAATCTCAGAAACTTAATTTTAAAACAAAAACATCATCTAATGCTTGAAATTTTCTTAATATCAAGTTACACCAAGAAATTAGTTGTATGAATCCAGTTTATTTCGTTTAAATCTAAGAAAGAGTTCCTTTTAAAACAAAAATATCATCTCCTTTTGCTTGAAATTTTGTTGCAGTAGACAGCATTGAATTTAGTAGCAATTTTTATACATTTTTTTATTTTTTCTCTTTGTTTAGCAGAAAATCTATCTTTCAAAAGAATGATTTTAATAATACATGTACTTATGGAGTTAAAAGTTTAAATCTTTCTGCAGTTGCCAATAAGGAGAGACCCCCTTCTCCACCAAAACAAGAAAAAACTGCCGCCAGCACAGGTAGTAAGGACAAGGGTAAAGGTGGGGCCAAGGGCAAGGATAAGGGTAAAGATAAGGACCAGAAGGGATCCAGGCCATCATCACAACAGTTTGATCACAGTAAACCCCACTGGAGCCTCCGAATCGCCAGTGACGCCAGTGCGGCTGTAAGTATATAGTCATACATGTAAACAACACTGAGAAGACTCATGTTAAAGGTGCATTTCCTCTTGCCTCCTGCTGGATTGATAATTCAGTGATTTGAATGGTTTTTAGGATGATATTGAAGTTAAAAAGGACACAGAGAGAGCTGATGAAATCAGGGCCCTCAAACGAGCCTGGGAAAATGCAGAGGAAGGGAGAGCAGTCAAGGTACAATGCAGAATTCGATAAAAATTTGATTTGCATTCAATTTATATGGAAATGTAAAAGAAAATTAAATGATGAATAATAATGATAAAAAAGTTCTCTTAACATGTATTAAAAAAAATGAAGGATTTAAAATCATCTTATATAAATCCACTGTTACAATCTGATGTCAGGCGATGCAGTCACGGTTGAAGTATCTGAACACCCACACAATCAAGTTGGACTACGACAAGGAGGAGACGGAAGGCGGAGAGGAGAAACCTCTGGATCAGGAGGAGGTGCCACCACCTCAGACCCCACTCTCTCTCCACGGAGACCAGGGGGAGGAGAATCTGACCCTTGAACCACCTCCCGCCCCGACCCCCACAGAAATGTTACAACCCCTGGATCTTACTCCTTTCATGAAGTAGGTCAAATACTGTCAATCACTTTTAATTTGCGGGAACTTTATTTTTGCGTAATTATGCAAGACCGTCTGCTATCGAAAATTTCATTCTCATATCAAAGATTATACAGTTCATTCTCATATCAAAGATTATACAGAGCAATGACCGAAATTCGCCAAAAAAAAATTTTCCCTTATAAAAACCACGTAAAACAAATGAGGTGTCGAGCAAATTAAATGATCTACAGTAAATAAGCTGTTATTCCATTTCTGTATGTTCTTGTAAAACATTATGTGTGTGCAGAGAAAAAAGAGTCAGTTTATTGAATTGGAATGTGACATTATTTTAGGAAGCCAGAGCATGAACCTCGGTACCTTGATGAGGAGGAGATTAGGCGGCGAGAAGAGGAGCAGAAGCGCCAGGTAGAGGAATACAAGGCATTCAGGGACCAGGTCAAAGCCTGGCGGGAACAAGACAAACAGAAACGCAACCTTACAAAGATCAAACAGCTCGAGCAGTGCGAGGAATTACAGGTAAGGATGCATATATAGGAAATAAAAGGGGAGGGGAGTACAAGACATTCCTCTTCAATAATGTCATAAGCTTTGACCCTCATTTGGCAAAAAACATATAAGCTGCCTTCACCTTTAATTTTTGTTTCAATACTGCATATTTAATTTTTAAATTGACATCATTAACAAATTTTTACTGCAAAGACATTATATTCTGTTCCAAAACTGCTGAGTGTTTCTGGGCTCAGCTAAACTTTATGCTGCACAGAATACTACTAATATACATTCCCTGTACAACTCATCATCATGCATTTCATAAGGATGTACAATTTTGAAAAAAAACATGTTAATTTACTTTCTATTTTCACTTTTTTTCCTGTCATTCTCCATATATTGCCTCAATCTAACATGACTTACTTTTCATCTCTGTCTAATCCCTCCATAGGACTGCATTGACCAAGCTAGACATGCTATAGCTCTCGCATATCAATCAATTCGTGCCAAACATCAGGACAACAAGGCCAAGACGGAAATCTCTGAGCCAACTACATAAACACTGTACTGCACATCATTGCCTGTTTTTTGTTGTCTGTGTGTTTAGTATTGTTTTGTTTTATCAAGCCCTGTTTGTGCATCATCATTTTTCCCATGTCCTTCAATCCTACACCATTTTCTACTACTTTTACCTCTTTGTTGTCATTTCACTACTACACACATCATATCTATTTCTTTAAACACTTTTTTTCAGTTTAATATTCTTTGTTTCATGTTACTACTTCATTTTTCTCTCAAGACTTATGATTACAGTAAAATCACTAATTTTCATTAGGGAGGGGGGTAATTTTCATTGTTTTTGTAGTTAGAAGAGATCGAAAAATTCATGTCCACGAAATGTTTAAATTTCAAACTAAGGTATACAGAATAAAGTTTCTCTTTAAACCACAAACCAATATTTTCTCAAACCATTGACCCCAAGAAAATAGTGACTTTACTGTATGTAGATTTGTAGTACTGATTGCTCACAAAATTCAGACTGGAACCTTAGAAATCCGCATCCCACTACACTGTTCTTTTTAAACATCTTTAGATGATAATGTTTAGCATGAAGAGATTGAACTGCTGCTGTAGTGTTTTTTTTGTTTTGTTTTTTTTTTTATTATTATTATTAAAAATTGACTGTGAAATTTTAGATTATATTTTTGTTGATATGTCGATGCTTTGAAATCCACTGCACTGCTTTGTTTGTTTTTATGTTAGGCCATGTTGGATGCTGCACGTGAGTCAGTAAACGCTCCTCGAGAGGCCATACGTCAGAAATACCTGGAGGCAGAACGCAAAAAACAGGAAGAGCTTGACGCAAAAGAGGCAGCTTCTGTGTCAGACCAGAACTCCAAATCTCCCAAAGGGAGGAAAAGTGCCAAGGGCAAGAAAAGTCCTGCCAATGGCAAAAAGAAAGGGAAATAACTCCTGCAGTATTATACAAACTGTTCAATGTATCTGTGATAACATTTGTTGTAAACATTAAGACTTTTGTTGTGATGAATATGAATGCCCATTGTGTTTAAGATTTGTTACTGTGGTAATATGAACACTTGTATGAAGTGTACAAGAAAAGTGCTACAGAATTTTAACAGATGTTTGGTATATTTTGATATTTTTGAGAATATGAAATTTATGATCCATTTTTATGTGCATTGTGTGTTTGTGCACTGTTAATGTCTGTGTCATAACAAATCACACCATACTGCCAGCTATATGTCAGAAAAAAATAGCAATCAGAGAAAGAAATCAATGGTACTATATATTATAAAACAAAAAAACTATATCTTTTCTAAAAAGCAAGAAATTGATATGTTGAATGATTTCACTTGTTTGAAGTAACAGAGGTTCAGCACAGTTCTTTTTTCTGCTCCATTGGAAGGAGATTTACTTCTTGAGAGAAATATCAGACATTAACAGTGTGCCATGTTGACAGTCATTCCGTCCCACCACTGGTTCTTGCCGATCATAAGTGGCCCTTGTGAGCTCCGTCCTCTTAATGATCAATGTTGTATGTGATATTGTAAGTCCAGTGGTTCTCTCTAGTCCATATCACATGACCTGTCCAGCCAATCAAAACATTTCTTACAAAAGATCATATAAAGAATTCAAGTCTCTTCTTTTTTTTTCTTTTTTTACATATACTTGTAAGCATCAAAATGTTTATTGAAAATTGGGGATTAGTTATCAGTTTCAAAACTGTAATGTTAAAATGTGAAGAAATGAGGAAATTGAGGATCCAGCAAAAGGAATGGTTGATTGGTTGGGTGGTCAGCTTTTTACATATCAACTACTCTGTATTATGCATAATCTATTTTCTATCCTTCTTGGTCTGTCCTGGGACTTTTGTCCAATTTTAATGTCTCACATATCAACAATTTTTGTTGTGTATTTGTACATATGTAGCATAAATGTGTATCATAAATGTCATATTTATTGTATTGTATTATATGAAGATTTTTGTACATTCAATAAATGAATTAAAACATTGATTGTTTTTTTTTTCTTTTTTTGTTAGGAAATCAAAAGGGAATTGAACATTGATTCTTCACATATCATTGAGAGGATATTTTGTTTATTAAAAAAGAATTATGTGATTGGGCATTCATTGGCAGAACCATTGAGTTGAGGTGCACCCAAATCCCAAACTTCTGAATTAATTGATAGTAATTGTGTCTATGTCTATCAATTAACACCCGACACATTACCTCAAGAATCTTTCCCCTGCAGATACCATATACAGTCATACCTTGTTATCTCAAATGAAACATTGAGATATTAAGGGTAAAGTATATAAAAAAAAAAAGTGATTGGGACTTCCAAATCATTTTGACATATCCATGGTACTGTAGATTCCTAAATATACGCGAGGAATTAATTATCAGGTAATTTTGCGAGAAGCACCACTCGCGAAATAAAATTACTCGCTTTTATTAGCTCACCTGAGCTGAAAGCTCAAGTGAGCTTTTCTGATCACCCGTTGTCCGTCGTCCGTCCGTCCGTCTGTCCGTCCGTCTGTAAACTTTTCACATTTTCAACTTCTTCTCAAGAACCACTGGGCCAATTTTAACCAAACTTGGTACAAAGTATCCTTGGGTGAAGAGGAGTGTAAATTGTTAAAATAAAGGGCCAAGTCCCCTTCAAAGGGGAGATAATCAAGAAAAGACAAAAATAGAGTGGGGTCATTAAAAAATCTTCTTCTCAAGAACCACTGGGCCAGAAAAGCTGAAACTTATGTGGAAGCATCCTGGGATAGTGTAGATTCTAAATTGTAAAAATCATGACCCCCGGGGGTAGGGCGGGGCCACAATAGGGAATCCAAGTTTTACATTGAAATATATAAGAAAAATCTTTAAAAATCTTCTTCTCAAGAACCACTGGGCCAGAAAAGCTGAAACTTATATGGAAGCATTCTGGGGTAGTGTAGATTCTAAATTGTTCAAATCATGACCCCCGGGGGTAGGGCGGGGCCACAATAGGGAATCCAAGTTTTACATTGAAATATATAGGAAATTTTTTTAAAAATCTTCTTCTCAAGAACCACTGGGCCAGAAAAGCTGAAACTTTTATGGAAGCATCCTGGGGTAGTGTAGATTCTAAATTGTTCAAATCATGACCCCCGGGGGTAGGGCGGGGCCACAATAGGGAATCCAAATTTTACATTGAAATACATAAGAAAAATCTTTAAAAATCTTCTTCTCAAGAACCATTTGGCCAGAAAAGCTGAAACTTTTATGAAAGCATCCTGGGATAGTGTAGATTCTAAATTTTTCAAATCATGACCCATGGGGGTGGGGCGGGGCCACAATAGGGAATCCAAGTTTTACATTGAAATACATAAGAAAAATCTTTAAAAATCTTCTTCTCAAGAACCACTGGGCCAGAAAAGCTGAAACTTTTATGAAAGCATCCTGGGGTAGTGTAGATTCTAAATTGTTCAAATCATGACCCCCGGGGGTAGGGCGGGGCCACAATAGGGAATCCAAATTTTACATTGAAATATATAAGAAAAATCTTTAAAAATCTTCTTCTCAAGAACCACTGGACCAATAAAGCTGAAACTTATTTGGGAGCATCCTTGGGTAGTGCAGATTCTAAATTGTTCAGATCATGACCCCCGGGGGTAGGGCGGAGCCACAATAGGTATATTAAAAGGAGGAGAATCTGGTAAAGAACAGCATGGCCAAAGTTACTCAGGTGAGCGATGTGGCCCATGGGCCTCTTGTTTTTACGGTGCTGAAATATATGCAAAATCTCTTGATCAACCATCCATTTGCGATTTTTTTTCCCGCAATTTGACGCCTTCAAGTCATTTCGCGATATTAAGTACTCGCGAAAAAATAAGGAATCTACAGTATTTTTGAAGATATTATCAGAGTTTGAGATACTGAAGTTCAATTGCATATTTTTACATTTGCCAATGTCTTTCCTTATATGACAATACTAATTAAATTGACATTCAATAAATTTTTCAATGACATGCAGTTGGTCACATGATCATGATCGTAAATTCGTGATTTATAATACTGTAAGCAAAATCTTGTCATTTGTATTCGAAAAGAGGATATTCAATGTCGAAAACTTTATTGTCTTGGAAAAAAATTCCAGGAGAAATAATAGCATGACAGGTCCCTGTGTTGAAAATGAATTAGATAAACAATTTGTACACCTTTATTTGATACAATTTTCTCAAATTCCGAAAACATTTTCCATATTATTTAGAGCTTCCTTAAAAGGAAACCTATAGATCTTGAGACGTCTTGTCCAGAGGTTACTGAAGATTATTTACATAAGCATGCTGCCATTAAGGTGACATGGATATCAATATTTAGATAAGCAAAAATGTACATGTATATTTTCACACGTAAAACACGCTTGAACGGAGAGTCTGACTATCCATTAATATTATCAAAAAGTTGGTATTAAACCTCCATTTTATAGCATTAATTTTATCAGATACGATAAATGTGTCGGAATTCCGTATTAAAATTTCATAGTTTCAATTAAAACGTCCATGGTAATGGACTGGCTTATTAGAATTTAATAAGATATAAAAATCTAATAAGATGAAGGGGGAAAAAATGTAAAAACCACACCCTATCGTAAAATTTATATTAAAGAAGTCCTTTAAAATCATAACTTGGGAACCAAGAAAAAAATGATAGAAAGAAAATGTTGGGAGTTCTTATGCTACTCATGTCACTTGCAAAAAGTTTTTGCAAGAAAATTTCGCCTAGAATATTTTTTTTCTTCAAATTTGAATTAGAAATTTGAAGTCTTAATAGAACGTGGTTTTGAAAGAATACCCTCTTAAATCCACCATTCGCGATTCATTCACAGCCATGATCTATTTCTGTGACTAGTGAAAGTAGAACCTCAGATACCGCTATAGGTAATCAGCATTCTGTTATGCCATACCTTACATCGTTTTTTTTTTTTTCGCATGCTGCAAATTTTGAAAATTAAAAAAAAGAGGTAGATTTGTACAGTTTTTATTTTGCATAAATTATTTTTTTGCAATTTAAAAAAATACTAATGAAAAACGGTAATGTTTTTAGAATGTAGAGTACGTCCCTAATTTTTGCATGTTTTATTTTTAGCGAGTTAAAACTGATCCAAAAAAAATGCGGAAATACCGATAGATCATCGCGAAAAAAACGGATATACGGTAATATCCATTCAAATGCTATGCACAGCAAAATTTAAGGGTTGGACTCCAGCAGTAGGAACCGGAAGGGGGGAGAGGAGGGGGAGGGAGGTACCCCTCCAACAATAATTTTGCCAGTGTATACTTTAGACCACAGTAAGTTTTCTTTGTTTTACGTCCCTGGGAGGGTAGGTTTTCAGGGGAATCCAGTTAATAAAAAACAAGTTTGTCAAATTTTCAACGATTTTTCTCTTTTTTTAAAGGAACTATTGGAATTTTAGAGCTATATAGAATTCTTGAGGTAGATCGCGGGTTTGCTGACGTCACAATGGGATTGGACGTAGAATGCCTACCGCGCGCGTTTACAGTATCAAACTACAAACAAGCAAAAAATATCTTCAGCAGTATACAGTATAAAATGAAACATACAGTAAAGCTTGCGTGGTCTGTCAAAATATTAATTCATATAATATATAATTAAAAATAAAGGGTGGATCAATAATTAAATTAAGACTTTTCTTTACGTTCGAAAATGCAAGGGCTGAAACTAATTCTGTTTATCAAAGTAAAACGCAATAATTCATCATTCTTCTCATATATAATTGTCATTCAATTTATTTTAGCGGAATTTGAAAATTACATCATTTTTAAAGAGAAAATTGCGTCACAATCAACAAACCATCAAAACCTTTTCGCAATGAATTTAAAGGAAAGTTTGTGTTACAGAAAAGAATAGCGAACTTGAATAACTTGGTTTTTAAAACAAAAACACAACACAAAGAAAAGACGGAAGATGCCGCCGCACTTGAAAAACACTGCTTGGGCGAAAATTCGTGGAAGACAGGGAGGCGAGTAGTTGAATTGAAATTGTTGCACAGGGATTGAAAGATTGTATATTGCAATGAACCCTTACATCTCTATATTCTTGCACTGGTGGAAAAAAAATACGGACTGACGTCCATTCTCCATTCTCTATATAGAATGTCAGAAGTGCAGCAAAACGAATTCCGTGTCCACAGGAAAGCTCCACAGCACAAATGGCAAAGGACCAGCCTGTTGCTTTGATATCAACACCAAACTGGCAGCAGTTTCGTGAATTATGCTATTTGATTTAGTTTATTTCAGTTTAGTATAGATTAAAATTCCCAAAATGGAAGCATGAACAAAAATAAACCCCTCACCCCCGGAATGGCGTGTCAGCGATGTTGAGGTCAAGGTGGTCGTTTACATAGTCTTTTTTACATTGATATCTGTATGTGTACACTTCTAAGATGTCACAACGTTGATGATAACAATACAAAGGCGGATCCAGCAAAATTTCTCCTTGGATAAGGCGTCATTTTTTTATTAGAATTTTTCCGCACTGCTTGAGTTTATTGAGGGAAAAAAAACGACTTCTCTCCTGTGTTTCATTGAAATAGTGCCACGCTGTGGGTAAACCATGGCAACTTTTACAAGAACATTATCATCAATAAAAATTGAATTTACGGATTACATGCTTTATTTTGAATGATTTGTTAATTGATTGATTCATATTTTTTTTCTGGTCGCGCAGGCATACGAAAATAATGACGTCGCACTAACATAATAGAACGTCGTGATGAAAATATACCGGTAATACGTTTGTTGGAAAATTGTAAAATTTTTGAATTTTTTTTGCAAAAAATTGAGCTAGAATACATATTAATCTTTTTTAATAGATCGACTCTTAAATTTATTTCACATTCTTTGTGTTGAGTAAAATAAAATTCGTCTGCTTCATTTTAATATTATGAGCATGGTTTTGAAATGCGAATACCGGCGTGAAAGG